ATATATATATATATATATATATATATATATATATATATATATATATATATATATATATATATACTCAAGAGGCCTTTGTAAGCAGGCTGGGCCTCCAAATTGGGCTTTTATTGACCTTCTTCGGACGTCCAAGAGATAGCCCAATTTGAACGCGGCCCCAATTTACTAAAGCCGCCGCCATCGCCATCGCCGTCGCCAGTACCACATCCCCCTCCTCGATCGGTCATCTTTGAAACCCTCCCTCTTCGTCGATGACCGCATGAGATGGGCGGCGGTAGTAGCCAACAAAGCCCCATCTCTTCTCCGGAGGATGGGGGCTTCTCCCCTCTCCTCCTTCTACGCCGCCGCCGAGGTCGACTCCATCTTCGCCCCACACGACGCCTGGGAGCTCGTCATCTCCGAGAGGGTCCTCACCATCCTCCACACCGTCCCCTCCTTCGAGCCCCACCTCGACTTCCTCTCCCCGATCCTCACCCACCACGTCGTCGAGGAGGTCCTCGCCGACGCCCCCACCGCCCCGTTCGCATTTCGCTTCTTCTCCTGGGTCTCCAGGCAGCGCCACCTCCGCAGCTGGGTCTCCCACAACCGCATCATCTCCATCCTCCGCTCCCCAGGCGGCTTCGACTCCGCCTGGCGTGCCCTCGCCGACCTCGGCCGCCAGGGCGTGCCCGTCGCCCCGGCCGCCTTTGCCGCCCTCATCTCCGCCTACTCAGCCTCCGGGATGGCCGAGAAGGCCGTGGAGGCCTTCGGCCGGATGTCGGAGTTCGGCAGCCGCCCCAACACCTTCGCCTACAACACCTTGCTGCGGATCTTCGTCGATAAAGATGTGATATTGCTCGCCCTGGCGATATATAACCATATGATCAAGTCGGATTGCCGTCCCAATCGGTCCACCTTCATCATCTTGATGGGCGGATTGTGCAATGCGGGGAAGACGGAGGACGCGCTGGCGCTGTTCGACGAAATGCTCCAGCAAGACATATCCCCGAGCACAATGGTTTACACCGTGTTCCTCTCGTCGCTCTGCAAGGCCGACAGGCTTGACGACGCGAGCAGGCTGTTGGATTCCATGAAGCAGGACAATTACAAGCCGGACTCCATCACCTACCACGCGTTGTTGAGTGGGTTCTGCAAGTCGGGGAGGATCGACGAAGCTTTCGAGCTTCTGAGGGCGTTCGAGGACGACGGGTTTGTGCTAGGCCTAAGCGGATATAGCTGTTTGATCGATGGGTTATTCAAGGCCGGGAGATTCGAGGAGGCGTGCCGGCATTACAAGGAAATGCTGGAGAAGAATGTGGCTCCGGACTGCAAGCTTTACGCAATAATGATCAGGGGCTACACCGAAGTTGGCCAGGTGGAGGAAGCCTTCTCCTTCTTGTCCGAGATGGGCGGCCGAGGTCTGGTTCCTGATACATTCTGCTACAACAGCCTGATCAAGGGCCTCTGCGACGTTGGGCACTTGGACAGGGCTCGCTCGCTGGTCTTGGAGATCTCGCAGCACGATCGATTCCCCGACTCGGCCACCTACACCATCATGATCTGTGGACTGTGCAAGGAGGGGCTCGTCGATGAGGCACGCAACATATTCGACGAAATGGAGAAGCTGGGGTGCGTCCCGACCGTGATGACGTTTAATGCTCTCATCGACGGGCTCTGCAAGGCCGGGAAGCTGGAAGAGGCCCACATTCTCTTCTACAAGATGGAGATGGGGAAGAACCCCTCCCTGTTCCTCCGGCTCTCGCAGGGCGCTGACAGGATCCACGACAGCAACAGCCTCCGTCAGTTGGTGGAGGAGTTGTGCGGCTCCGGCCATGTGCTCAAAGCATACAGGCTCCTCCGTGGCATCATCGACAGCGGCGTCGTGCCTGATATCGTCACGTACAACACACTGATCAATGGTTTGTGCAAGGCCGGGAATACCGATGGCGCAATGAAGCTCTTCAAGGAGCTTCACCTCAAGGGGCACTCTCCCGATGCAGTCACGTACGGCACGCTCATGGACGGCCTCCTCAAGGTGCACCAAGAGGACGAAGCCTTGACGGTGCTCCAGCACATGTTGCGGAGTGGGCGCAGCCCTGGCGTGTCGATATACGGCATGCTGATGCGGGCATTGTGCAGGAAGAAGAAGGTCTCCCGGGCGGTGACGCTCTGGTTGAACCATCTCTGGCAGGCGCGCAGAGCTCCCGAAGACGCCGAAGCCATCACGACAGCACGGAAGCAGTTCATGGAAGGGAACCTGGAAGAAGTCATCAGAGGCTTGGTAGCGATGGACCGGAAGCGTGGCGTGGCCGGTCCCTTTCCTTACACGATATGGCTGATCGGCTACTGCCGGATGCACAAGGTGGACGAAGCTCTCACGATCTTCACCACCCTGACGGAGTCGGACGTCGATGCTACGCCGCCCAGCTGCGTGCACCTCATCGACTACCTGTGCCGGAACCGGAAGCTGGAGGCGGCGGTCGACGTGATGCTGTACTCACTGGAGAAAGGCTTCTTCTTCATGCAACCGGTGGGCAATCGCTTGATAAGGAGACTCTGCGCACACAGCAAGAAGGACGCAGCCCAAGAACTGGTTCGAAGGATGCAGCTCGCCGGATACGACATGGATGTTTACCTCCGGACAACCACCAAGGTGTTTCTGTACGGTGATTAGATAGATCGGCACGGACTATCATCCTCCCCTTTTCGTTTAGAGTCGTAGAAGATTTGATTTGGTTGATGACCCATTTTTGGATGAACATGATTTGTCATCGATGCGGATGGGTGGGTGGGTTTCTTTAACCCTTGTAACATAACATCAATAAGCAAAAAGAAAATGAACGGTAATTTAGTGTGTGATTGCAAATATTTCTTGCTCATAGCATCACGAGATTGGATTTTCTCGCTCCGTAGTACATATCATTCTGCTGGAAATATAAATAGAAAGGTCAAGATCACATATTCGATTCATTCGTCGATCGCAAAGCAAAGAGCCATCGCATCATATTATTGCATCGGGTCGGGACATATGTACACGATGTGTTGGCCTCCTCGGGAACTATAATTCTCTTTGGCCGGCTTTGCCCCGGGCATCGTTCCCTTCGGTGGGGTTCTCGTGAACCACCTGCACCGGCCTCTGCTCTTGCTGTCCTTGCCCGGCCGACGTCCGGTAATCCGTCGTCTCCACCACTTTCGTCTCCTTCACCCCTCCTCCTCCTCCTCCTCCGGCGGGCGGAGTCTGTGTGGCGCCGGCGCTGGTCTTTTCCTTCACCGGTGCGTACGCAACAACAAGATCAGGCTGAGGAAAGCAGATACAAGAAGGTACGTACAGCCACCACCACTTCACATGCATACCTGTGTCGTCGACATCGACCGAAGTGAGAGACTTCCCACGGAGATTTCGATCCACGAACGGGAAGAAGAGCCACCTACGGTTGGGAGGAACGATGGGTACGGTTTGGTAATAATAGCAGAAGGCGTGACACGTTACGAGGCGAGCTGTCGAGTTGGGCTTCGAACGCGATGGCAAAGAGACCGGCCTTGTGAACACGTGTATGGAAGCAGTTTTTCACTATGGGAAAAACTGTGGTGTACGACCCCCCCAGCGACAAGTCACCACCCCTTCGAGACATGTCACCACCCCTTCGAGACATGACGTACTAATCATGTGTCGAAGGGGGTGGTGTACGACCCCCCAGCGACAAGCACCCACCCGTGAACGGTTCGGTTACAAGGGGTGGTGACATCGCATCGAAAGTGGATGCAGAAGATGGTTTAATCGATTCTTTGGTTGGTCTTTGGCGACATGAATTTGGGGGTATAGCCAATCATAAAAAAAGAAAGAAACAGGTCATTCTAACAATCTCAAATATCGGGATGAGTTAGTTCTATAGGATGGATGCGTTGCTCTGTCTGCTTCATCAAAACAGTTTCCACCAGCCTGCATTGCCGCCAGATTGAACACAAACCTTATCGCCCGTAATATAAAAGATGTTCGACCACATGTAGGACGGTCTCAGGCCGCAGTGCCGGAGAATAATATAAAGATCAACAGCGCTACCTTTCCTTTGAGAGTTTTAATTCTAAATGCACATTAATTGGCAATGGTCAGTCAGTCAGTCACAAGACTGAAATAAGATGGAATCCCAAAACAAACAAACATAAAAAAAACAATACGTTTCTTTCAGATAACCCTTCTCACGTCTAATTACTCTCACTCACTCTCTGTCTCTCTCTCTCCTGTGACTGTTGTGTATCTAGCACCCTACAACAAAAGACTTGAAAGGAATCATCAGTCCATTCTCCGCCTCTTTCCTTCGCATCAACGAGAAACCTGCCAAATCAATCTAATGGACCGACCATGAGGTTTCACTCGCACTCCCCCGCTGTCGGGTTATCTTGGCCACCCTGTGGTGCGCCCTTGGCGTACGGTCGCTAACCGAAGTACAGCCTCATCATATACCTTGTGGGGTTGAAGCCACTAAGAATCACTACAAATAAAAAATCAACGACCATCGTAGAAAGAATGACTTTTGGATGGTGAAAGATAAAACAAGATGAACTATCCATATCAAAGAAACTTACTCAGCGGGGATAAGATGATGACAAGTCCAATAGGATACAAAAAGAAGGTTGTTTTGTCCAAGAATGGAAGAACTGCATCAGAAATTTTCATTTCACGAGAGCAACGTGCAATTAGCTTGCCATGCCTAAACTCTGACAAAAATAAGGCATTAGTCATCAAAGTAATTGACAGCATCATGTCCTGCATACCATCGTAGCCGAGAAAATTCAGATAGTGATAGTAAGATATGGCCACCATGAAAAGTAGGTTTGAGACCAACATTGGAAAGAAGCCATGTGCTACCAAGAGAGGGGATACAAAGTACTGAATCACTGGAAAAAAAGATACAAGCGATGAGCGAAATTAACATATGAGCTATAAAACACAAGAATATAGCGATACAGGTGATGGACAGCACTGAATTGTTATGGTTACTTACCATAGAGCAAAACGAATGCTGGAAAGAAAGAGTTGCAGTGAACGTCAAAAGCATACAGCCTACTCACACGACACCATAAACACCAAAGAATATTAGTGTCTCATAATTGGAAAAAGAAAAAAAGTGCTATCTCACTTACAAGTAAAGAGAAACCGAAGCAGGACGAAATGATTTAAACATAAGCTGTACGATACATCAGGACGTTTTGTGCATAATTTCATCAGACTGACAAGTAACATTTGTCCATCAGAAATTTATATACCATATTGGATTAAAAATCAATACAAAAATTGATTCCACCAAACACCTTTGCCGAAATGGGAAGGGGACAATAATGTATTGCAAGGCAACCTGAGAATAATTATTGACCTTGTACGGTTATGCTGAACTGAGAAATTGGTTTAAAATCCTTGGTTCACATGAGCAGGCATATAGGAAGGCTAGATGGTAAATAGAGAATCATATTCATTTAACCAAACCAGTAGTTAAAGCTTATGGCTTTGTTCTATTATAATATAAAATTAGCATCATTCTTTTTTTCTCCTGTATAGAATATTCAACAAGGACACAAGTTAGTATTTGTTTTGCACTCCACCAAAGTTAAAAACAGGAAAAAATAATTGTAAGCATTAACATCAGTGTTCATCAGGCCCCTGAAGCCATTTTTCTTTGCTTTGTTCTGCTAAAGCTACATGGTTTGTAGTGTCATCTGTTCCTATCCCAATGATAAATAAATAAACATATGCAAATAAGATTCCATGAAGCAGAAAAAATATCATCTGGTCAAGCACAAATAAGAAGACTGATGATTGTATGCATTCGGAAGTTACTTTTTGCAACTAGAGTATTTCCAATCCCAGTTGGCCTGATTTTCCTTTCAAGGTTATAATAGACTTATTGGTTCCACAAAAGCCTAATTTTTTGTCCATTCAACCACGTTTCTTATCATTCACAATAAACTCATTCATAGTCAAGTTGGCTTTACAAACCATAGTCATGATATCACCTAGACCATAAATTACATAGTCATGAGTCTACAAAGGTTCCCCCCATCCTTCATCAAGTGACCTATGCATTCAATCCAAATCAACAAGCATAAGAACTGCAAACTCACCACAAGTCCTGCAACTTCCAAGTTCGCAAAGATTCTATCTGTCATCCCATCTAGCAACTTGTCAAGCGATTCATGGGGTTGACACGACAAGTTGGGTCTTCTTGACAATTGAAAACAATGTAAATGCAGACAAACACACATGCAAGCATTTACCGTACAGAGACATGTTCAAACAGTCCCAAGAAGAAAGAAAGAAAAAGCAAACTATCTTTTACTTCACATGATAAAATTTGGTAGGCAACAGACTTGCTGATATATGTAAACATCAGTTTTATGTGGTACCATTCAACCCGTTGCTCGACTGCATGACTGCTTGGTGTCTCCTCACGCATGTATGTATTTGTCAGAAACCTACATCAACCCAAAAAGGAAAAAAGAAAGCTCAACAAATATATGATATCTTATACAATGACTGGCCCATATAACAAAAGTCTTGGAAGTTCATACGGTGATTTTTGGTCACCAATAGTGATGTCATGTTTCTGTTGTTGATTAGTTCTTGCATAATATGCATGCTCACCAATGAAAGAATGTCATACATGTTCTGGGGAAATGACTCACTCAACGTTTATCAGGCACAGAAACTGTCATAAATATTTTATATCAGTTGGTGTTTAATGTTAGTGAATATGGTAATTTAACAAGCTTCAGGCAATAGCATCATTCAGGATTTTCTTTTCATACAAAAGATAATGGGTACCTCAAAAATGTCATGCATATCAGAAAAATCATGATTATTTAGCAATGCATTAGGAAAAAAAAAGTGCAATTCATATGTGTAGTTCAACAACAACACTAATGTAAAATGTCAACAAAGTTACAAATTGCTGAGTTACTTGAAATTGTAAAAAAGAATGCTAAATGTCAAATTCTTACCAACAACATGTAGCCAAAATCGTTCCTGCTAACAAGAAATGGAAGGCAACAACTGAAACAACAGTGAACACAGAATGCACCCAAGTCACGCCATACCTAAATTATGGAAAAGAACACAAAGAAAATTGAGGATAAATCAAATCCCATAAAAAGGTTAATGCTTTATTATGACAACTGGGAAGATAACAAGAACCGGGACCTTCAAAGTTTGAGCAGTTAACTAGATGTCGCCAGAAAACATAACCTCAGCTACGTATCTCGGAACTTGGAATGACAATATTACATTTAGATGTAACAAGGCAACATTGAAAAACTTACGCAGCACAATATGCTGAAGTGGCAACTATCAAAAAGAGACAGAAGATCACAGCAAAAGCAGGATCATCTCGTGCCCATTGGTTCTTTGTTTCTGGACAAAAATGGGAAAGTATGGATTACGCAGATGAATATTATTTGTGCAACTTTGTAGTCACAATATCATTCCAATAACTTGAGCGTAACCTATGCATGGGATGACTATCATGAGCACAAGGACCAATTCAGCATTCTTTAGGCAACATAAAAATATTACAAATCAAAGAATAAATAGCACGGATTATGTATTGTATATGTGTTACTATCGGAGGTAAAGGCTTTATTATTTGTTTGGTCGATAGTAGAGTGGGACAACGGACAGTTTGTGAGAGGAATCTTTTTTTTAATCATTTGGCAATAAAGAAGAGTCCAAAGACAACATCAAGGAGAAAAAACATAAGTTAATGCCATCAGCCAGTTAGTATGGGTGGGCTTAAGTCAAGCACGATCTTTTTTTTTTTGAAACAAAGCCAAGAAACTATCTATATCAGTTTGCAGGAGGCCATGTGCTCATATTTAAATGATGGCACGACCTCAACAATATCATGCCTTACATCAAAGACTATATTAGCTAAATAAATACCGGCCAACTGGCACAACTTGGTCGGTTAGTAGCGCAATACATGATCTCTTACTTCTAGAATCTAGAAAATTATTTCAAGTCAGTCCTACATATGATTTCACATAAAAGAAAATAACAAATCCCTAAAAGAACCTTCAGTAAACTCAAAGGTTTTATATGTACGGGCATCCAACAAAAGTTACATTAAACGGCTCTATTTGCTAAAAAATTGAATGCAGACTATGACACCAAGGAATAAAAGGAATCCTCTTGAATTACACAGCACCAAGAACAAAATCCAATGCACAAGACTACCGCCAAAGTTGGGTTTGAGAAGGATTAATGTACGAAGCTATACTCCAGTAAATAGATAGGCTGCTTTCATGAACTGAACTCTCGTCACCTATGTTGCAAAAGAGCAACCATAAACTACCATACTACCTGAGATAAAGTATTATTCATGCTAGCTTTGACCATTCCTGGCGTTGTGAATAGATTTCCTTTGCTAGATTCCCATAACCATGTACTCCAGAATTTAATAGAATTTTTTTTGTGATCTTTTCTACGGTTGAATTTAATGAAACCCAAGAAAGAGATGAATCGGCATGTGAATGATGAAGCAAGCAAACACAGAAACACAAAAAGCAGGTAGATATCTCACACTATGGCAGATGGCTGCAAGGCACAAGTTATATGATAAGAGGAAAAGAAAATAACAGGTACTAATTATGTGAGTGTATAACTTACGTTTATGGTACTTAGTGTGCTGGTAGCTGTCTCCCATATTATGTTCACATGTAGCAACACGATAAGCTCCAATAAGAAACTTTACCAGGAAATAAAGTATCAAAGTGCAAGTAAATTAAGTAAAGTGGCATATTACAAGTCCTTAATTTGAAAGAGTATAATTAAATGGGAGTGAACTAAATGTTAAACTATTGTTTGGGTCGAGCGATAGTCCATTGCAGGAAAAGAAAAAGCAGTGAATTATATCCTATGATGGAAACCTTATCTCTGCTTAGAAGAACTTTAATAGAAGAAAAATCTATTAAGAATGAGTGTGCAACTGCATCATACAATAATGAAATTTAGTAAGCCACTAATTCTTTTTATTTATATAAAGTTCCACTGTATAACTAGTATCTCCATACGGGTGATGATTTTTCAATTGCAGATCCCTTTTTATTCCCCTTCACTTGTTCCTAGTATTCTGTCAATTTTCTCTCCTTTTTGTGTCGTATGTTGAACTTCACCATTAGAAGTTTACAATCAAATTTAATCTAAATCGGTCATTGTTGATCATATTAGGTGCTGCAGTATGGGTGAATAGTCAAACAACAGGGATCAATACATTAGTTAGGAACTAATTATTTTTCACCACTATGAGAATAACAAAGAACAAGTGCTTTCTATCTGGATGTGGAGCCTGTAATGTGATCAGGAACGATCAAGCCAGCTCACGCCACTCGGCCAAGACCAAGACCAAGTTCCTCTAAGTCCAAGATCGGCTAAATTCAACTCCCAAGTCCAGGACCAGCCAACTCAATTCAACTCCAAGTCCAAGTCCAAGTCCAAGTCGGATTAGGAGTCTAGGAGTTGTCCAAGTATAATTAGGAGAGTGGAAATCGTCCAAATCTGATTAGGAGTCTAGGAGTCGTCCAAGTCTCATTAGAAATCTAGGAGTCCCCATTCTACAACCATAAATAAAGAGGTTGACGGCTCTAGAAAACACAGGAGAGAGAGAGGCGGTAGCCCTAGAGAGAGAGGAGAGAAGAAGGGAGGAAAACGACTAGAGAAAAGCCCTATGAAGTACGAGTTATTGATGAAGATTGTTGTTCACGAAGTATCTTCACTGTTGCATGTTCAGGTGTTCCTTTTCTTCAAGAAGCAATCTAGATTCCTTTTTCTCTTTCAAGCTCTCTCGTCCATCGACGACTCTATCAATCCGCCCACAAAGCGTAAATCCACTTGGAGGAAGGATCGAGATCATCAAATCTTTCCGCGAAGCATGTCACTATGTTTAGCAAAGAAAGCAAAAACAACAACTCAGAATGAAAATTAAAACAGATTACGTGCGAAAGCACTATGAACTCTAAGAGAGTCTTCACTGGACCTTCTCACTTTGATCTTTCTCGCAACAAACAAGTCATCCATTATGTGACAAATTAATCATCCCGTCGCGAGCAACAGTTTGCTCATCACCACTTGAAATGATTACCTTTGACTTCAACCTTTCAAGTCAATGACAAATTATAAATCATATATCATAGTTTAGTTTCCATCGAGGACTGCATTTATCCTCCCCTTAACCTCATATACAAGCAATAGGATAATCGCATCGTATCGAGCACCTTCTTCCTTTGAGGAAAGAAGGTATTCTGCAAGGTAAAATGATAGAACAAAAGGATGGAGAAAAGAGATTGGGAACAGAAAACCAAAGGATAGGTAAGCAGAGAGGAACTCCAGAAAATGAGATTTTCTTCGTAGTAACACTTCAATTTCATATCCAAGTCATACATAACTCACCTATTTGTCGACACTCATAACCTAGTATAGATAGAGATGGAGAAAACAGCTTGGGAATAGAAACGAAAAGGATAGAGAAGTAGAGAGAAACTCTGGAAAATGAAATTTAATTCGGAGCAATACTTCGATATTACACCTTAGGTGATACATAACTCACTCATTTGTCGACCCTCATAACCTAGGAACAGAGATGGAGAAAAGAGATTAAGAATAGAAAAGAAAGAGTACAGAGGTAGAGAGGAACTCTAGGGAACGAGATATTGTTAAGAGTAATACTTCAATTTTGTACCTTAAGTGATACAAAAGTCACCAATTTGTTGACTCTCGTAACCTAATGCAACACTAGCTCTGCTCCATCTAGATTTATAATATCCATGATCAATCCTTTTGTAAGTCTCAATTAGATTGGACCATGAAAAGGAGAGGTGTTAATCAGTTAGCCATCAAGCCTATACATGCCTCCAGCTCTCGTCCTCTATAAAACCCTTTTTATTGTCCCTCTCCCAATGTGAACTGAAGTTGACTCGATCAAGTTTGAGTCAAGCTAGGACTCTCCAGATGGGTAAAGATCAACCTACAGTTTGTAGTTTTAATCTAACAAGGAATAAGAGTTTATCGCATTGACCCATCAAACCTCGTGTCCAAAAAATGGTCAAACTCAATGCTGAGTTATCAACTAAAGTCTCCAAGTCATCTTATGTTGCTAACATGGCACTTGGGCCTCCTTTTTGGACCATCCATGTGACAAGGGTGTCCCAGACCATTTGATCTCCGCCGTTGAAAGATTGCTTTGACCCATTTCTTGGCCTGCTCTTCCCTGAAAAGGCTTGTGCTAGTCCAAACAGGAATAGGGGTCTTTGATCTTTTTGCACTAGTGTTGGAGCTGAAAGAAAGGATTCCAAGTCACTAGAAAAATTGTATTATTTCAGTGGAGGCTTCATGCGGCAGGCCACTTTTTTATATTTAAGACCACAAAACTCAAACATCTCCAAATTATTTCTATTCATCACATAATTGACAAGTTTCCTCTACCATAACTGTAAATATAAAAATTGGTAAGACATCGAGTATCTTGTTGAAACTAAGAAAGGCTATGCATCATGCAAGGAATATTATGGAGAATTCAGTAAATGACCACTATATAAACATCAAGCTTCGTTACTAACGGATAAAAGATAGAAACTTATGCTCGATGTACAGATGCATTCAAATTGCAAATAATTTGCAGTGAAAACTGAAAGGATAGATACTTAAAACATGATGTGTTCAGAAACATTAAAATGGTAGGAATTAGGACAGATACATACACAACTTTGGGTGAGGTACAAAGATGAAGCATTTGCCAAAAGGTATACTCGATATCCATTTGTTGCCACTAAAAATCAAAAGAAACAAGGGCATGAGACAGTGTAAATCATATTATTATTATACTAGCAAAGATCAGAGTCGAATTGGTTCAGAAATAAATTCTGATCTCCATCCTTCCCCTCGATACCTGTAAACATGCAGAACAAGTACAATAAATCCACGACACAAAACACAATTACTCCAAAAAGAGTTGAAACTAACATAAGCACATGAAGCAAACGTTCTAGACAACTGGTGCATGGCCCTATTTTCATTCACATAAACCTAATGTCAGGTTACCCAAAAATAGGTAAGCTAGACATCGATTTAGAATCAACCACATGCTTTCGCTAACCAAGACAAAGTAATAAAACCCATCATAATTGAAACTTCATATAGTAGACTAAAGCTTGTTTTCCGTCAGGAAAAATCACTTTAATGTGGAAATTTTGCCCAGTCTTCTCGCACAATCATTACATATAAATAAAATTGTTTGCCACCTGAAACCATCGTGGCAATTTAAGTTTGGTTAAGTACAAACCCATTTTGATTGAAACCAATCGTTTTGCTTGGTTGTATCAGATATCTTGGAACCAAAATCCTCAAGTCAAAGAAAATGTAAGGTGTCACCTAAAACCCAATCTAGATATAAGATAAGTCTAGTCTAGTCTGACCCAACCAGATCCCAACCCAATTTGGCAATATATGTATATATTGTGTGTAACACAGAAATTTGTGCGGTGTTAATTATATACAATTTTTCTTTTTAGCTCATGCGCTTAGCTATTTATAACCAAAACAACCTAGCTTTATCCCAAACCAACCCAGTGATTAGCCAAACCCAACTCGGTTAGCTTAGGGATGAAAAAAATCACAATTCAAGATCAGATCCACATGGATATGGATAGAGGAATGTTCGAGTCGGTATTACGGTTGACCTTTAACCAAAACCAAGTTGCCCAAGTTGCAGTCCTGCCACCGAATTGAACGAGCTTCATATATCAGAAAAACATGGTTAGACATCTCGTGTTACTCATCTTGCATCAAGAGTAGACAGTTTGTAAAACACGACAGCAACACACAAAGTGTTGATTTCATCATCACAACGAGTTTGCTGTTGAGTATATCAGGAGCATAACTATCGTGCAACCTGCAGGCAAAATAGCATGGCCTCAAGATAACTCATCGGTGACCCCGCCACAGATTACTTACTTTGCAGGCTTCCAAGCACGACGTAAGGGTAAGAAAGATCAGCGTTGGTATTAGAACAAATAAATTTGGTACGTTCACTCATTTAATAACAAAAGCCACGCTGATCAGATCACCCGATCGGCCATACATGAGTTCCTCAAAAAGAGATGGTACGTTTTTAGTTTCCTGTGACTGACTTTCCATATCGAAGTCTATAATCGATTTCTCGAAACCTAAAAGAAACCCTCCGCTCGTAAGGCCAACGACTAATAAACAGATCCACGTCAATGCTGCAAGAAAAAACCTAATTCGGCCCATTCCTGGAACGATTCTTCGACCTAATTCGGGTTTTTTTCATAGAATCTCACGACCGCCGTCCACACGCGACGGATCAAACCGTACAATTATCATGGATCTCTAAAGAATTCCAACGTTCATCCCGACAAACAGACACCGAAGGAGTCGGGAAGATCGCATGTGGTTCGGTTCGGGGAAGAAAAGAAGGGTGGGGCGAGGGGGAGAGAAGAACCTTGACGATTCGGCGGAGGTATTGGGAGAATCCCGGGGCGGGCCGAACGGCTGAGGTCCCGCGCCCCTTGGACACGGTCGGCAGCATCCTCCCTCGTTCCGATCAATCGTTCCCCCTCTCGGCTATCGTCGCAGTGGACCGCGATATGAGATCTGCAAGGAGAAAGAGGAGGAGGAGCGAGCGGCCGATGGCGAGCGCCTTGTATTATTTCTTGATAATCTAATAATAATAATAATGACTATTTAGCATCGAGAATTCTCGAGTCAGACCGGATGTTATACGGGCCGGATTGGGTTGACGGACAACAGCCCATGGCCCGATTCATGGCCAAGCTTGCTCTTTTGCGGAACCATTCTCGCATAATAATAATAATAATAATATTATTATTTTCTCTGAATCTTTTCCACTTGGACCGACAGCCCACCGCGGCCATCGACTATGTAATTAATACATGTTGAGACCCACCCAAACAAATGGAACGTCTGTCCCCACTTGCAGCTAGCTAGCTAGCTTCGGTCAGCAATGGCGTTCGTTTGTCGTCTACTGCACGTCGTCTCTATGGTCCCACGCGACATAAAGCGCAGAGGGTCAAAATTTCCATTCCGTGGGCCCCTCACAGCCAGCCTCCTCCTTGCGGGGGGGAGATGACGTTTGATATCTTCTGGCATGATGTTACTGCTCCACTACCTTCCTTTTTTCTTCGTTTGGTTTTGACTTTGATCTTTCATTTCCCTCGTCGTGATAATTATTAGTTGCTTGCTGAACAGAGAATACGTAGATGACATTTTTCCTGCTCCGATTATTTCCATAGCCTCCGCGTTGTACGGCGAAATAAATATTTGGGCGGCAGAATGTTTGGTGCGGAGGAGGAGGAGGAGGAGACATGATGTGATGTACTCACTCACTCATACGACGATCTAACAACGAAACTGGCCAGTTTGGATAGAAGAGAAGAAGGTGTCTGCCGACATCCATGTGGAGCAGAATGAATACTTACTGCTGCCTGTAGTTGTGGATACAAAGGGGAGGGTGGATGATGGATGTGATCGCAGATCCTAGGCATGATTGTGCTACTTGACCTCACATGATGATGGATGCATCAAAACGAGACGAGTTAAAAGAGATGCTGGTGCTTGATGAGCAGGCTACCGGGGGTCAAATGTGGTGGTAGGGGACCGAAGCCAAAGAATAATAGGATTAGGTTGGTGACGCGACGGGGGCCGACGACGGACCATGCAAATTACATTTTCACTTCGGAAAGCTCAGCTCAGCTCAGCTCAGCACAGTTCACTTGCTCACGCAAACTACATACAGCATCAGCATAAGATACTTACTTGTCTGCGTGTGGGAACCCACCATAATTTTATCTTACTCGATACCTGAGTTTCTTTTTATAATATTTATAGAACAAACCATGTCAACAAAATCCGAGGTTCTGCCGGCCACGGCGTTCTCTTTTCATTCGTTTGGAGTCCTAATTGCAACCCAACGAATTCAGTCGATGAATTCCTCTGGTCCAACAGACAAGTCTCGTTTCTCCGGTCATCTATTCGGCGACGCCCCACCCCCAAACCAGGGAGTGGGCCACTCGAATCCCAAGCGACCTCCATTACATTGCAAAACACAAACGCTGGAAAAGCAGCAGCAGCAACAGCACATAGCGACGGATGGCTTTTTCCCAATCCCGACCCCATGGCTACTTGCATTATTGCGTCTGCTTCATCTCCTCTAAGCCAAAAAAAGAAAAGAAAAAAAGGTATTGGTGGCGTTGATGATGATGGAGCCAAAGACATTAATAAATTGGATGAAGAAAGAGCGAAAGCTGGGGAGAGGCGTTGCAGGTGCCCGAGGCACAAAGACGCATGTGATTCGATGTGCTCGCCATAAGACTATAAAAGAAGGGGGGAAAAAACAAAGAGAACAGCAGCGGCAGCATCAAGGAGAAGGAGGAGGAGGAGGAGGTGTGTTGTGGAAGGCTGTTGCTTAGATTCCATCAAGTGGAGCGGGTGGCTCCCCGTTCTCGAACCCTTGCCACTTACTCTATGGCCGCTCGAAGACACATTAAAAGAAGGATAAAAGATCCAAGTACCATCAGCTCTAGGTGCGTGCATGCATGTAAGTAGTGATGAGGGTAGTAATTACGATAAGACTCGGCTGATGTCATCCGACGCCTCACGCCTCGATCGGTGCGACTGCACTCGGTCAACCGAACCAAAACACTGGCCGAGGCACATTAACGCCTACTCAGGCTTGGTTCTTCACGCCACGCCAAACCAATGTCAGACGCAACCAGCCTGCCTCCTGCAGGTGGGCACGTCAAGTAACACCAAACTCCCCTATAAATACCCTTGCATCCTAAGCGGAAGCAGGGGGGGACACAAACACTTCTTCATCCGAAACCCCCTCCACTATCATCTAACTCGATCGTTGGAGGGGTCGGGTCGAGCTTCCCGACCCGACCTTTGTGCAGGTATGATGCCGAGGGTCCCCGCCGGACGCGCGGACGACGAGCCCCCGCCCGGAGGAGACGACGACCCCGTCCCGAGCGGACCATCACACCGGATCAACCCCGCGGGCTCGAGGAACGCACCCAGGGAGATCCCCGTCTTTCGGACCCAAATCGAGCCGCGTCGACCCCGAGGCCACGGCTCAAAGTTGTTTCCCGCAACAGATTAGCGCTAGAAGGAGGGCCCGGAATGTCGGGTGATCACCCGAACGACTCAGATTGCCCGAGTCCACCTCAGCGCAGCTTGCCCGCCTGAGTCGTGTCCCTCGGCCTTTGCCATACCCCTCGGCCATAGGCTGCCGAGCTCCCCCCAGGGCGGCCTCTTAGCCCGAGACCACGCTTGTGCAACCTGTCCGCCTGCGTCATGCTCCTCGGCCGCATGATGCCCGAGACCACGCCTGCGCGGTCTGCCCGCCTACGTCGTGCTACTCGACCGCATGACGCTCGAGACCACGCCTGCGCGGTCTGCCAGCCTGCGTCGTGCTCCTCGGTCGCATGATGCCCGAGACCACACCTGCGCGGTCTGCCCGCCTGCGTCGTGCTACTC